CCTCCTCTCATCCTCCCCTCATCCCCTATCAGATTTCCGACGCTGGCGCCGCCACTGCTCAGCTTTAACACTCAGACCTAACCAAGTACACTATTACGTACTAAGCGTGAGACAATACTCACGCTTAACTCTCAAAACACCCCATTGAAAATAAGTTGTTTCTTTTCAACTTTATGGGTTATGGTATCCTGGTTTCATACGTGTTTTTAATGTTCAGATGGGTTTTTTTTATCTGTATTTTTATTTTGTATAATTGGAAACCGAACCGTAAAATAAAAACAAATCAAATCAAACTCTTGCGAACCAAATCCTCTCGCATAATGTCTCTGTCTCAATAAAAATTATTGTAGGCCTATTTTGTAGCTCTATCACTAAACATGCACCAACTTCATATTTTATTATCGAACTAACTGCTCTAAACTGTGAATGTCTTTTCTAACAAGCAATGTCAGACGAGATCCAAGAATCAATGTTGCCACATGTGCACCCTGTACCGTGATAGGCTCGCGGAGGTCTAAACGTGTATTTAAGTCAATTAAAACAAAATCAAACAAACAAAAACAAACAAAACAAAACGCAGATTTGTTACGGAACCGAATTTTGGTTACAAAAGTAATACCCTCGAAAGAAAACGCGTTTCTGAGCAGCAGGACATCTTTCCGGGTCTCACGCCCGAAAATTCGTCAATTCGAATCTGTCTCTGGCGTTGCCATTGGCAGCGATGCAAACATAAAAAATAGGCCTATGGGCGGGCTCCCCTATATTGTCACCCTGTTCACTTTTTCAATAAGTGCAGTGTTGTCTGGTTTGCGAGACGCAATGATGACGAGCAACAGATCCGGCTATTGACCAATTGTTAATATTTATATTTTTATTGTTTTCGATTTATTATCATTCATTAAGCGACATAATAAAAATATAAAAATAGAGGTGTTTTTTTTTTTTTTTTATGTAATCAGGGCAATACCATTTTAGAGAGGGGAAGTTTATGCCAACGTATTAGACTTATAGAAGCATGACTGAATGTAAGCATTATACCTATTATAGTAAATCCAAGGCTTAGGCACCTATCATAAAATAAACAAGTTGTTTGACAGAGTTCGTGACTTATATTATAAGATCTAACGATATTGATAAGCCCTAATTGCTTTTAGCTGACGACAAAAGAATTTTCATATTTCGTTCTCAATCACTGGAGAGCATATTACAACTAGTTTCAAAGAAACCGTAGTCAGTTTTAATCAACAAATCCAAGAGGTCTTTAATGCATATGTTGATTCGGATTGTTAGTTTAAAGTTCAATTTTATGTACGTATCCGTCCACCTGAGCAAATAGGCATACATTAATGCCGAAGTGGATGCTAGTATTAATTGATAGAGAAGATAGCAGTCGGTAGCTGCGTTTCCAATGACGACGTTAACGCGATGCACGGTGTAAACGGACGGACTCGTTAGATGCGGAAATACGCCGCCGAAAGCAAAGACTTCAAAATACGGCCTTCCGTACAGGATTTCAGCGATATTTTATCGACTATGCATCCAAATGATAAATCCATTACCAATTATAGTTTATGGAAGGAGAAGCCATCGAATACCGACCAGTCGAGTGCGTTTCCACCAATACAGGCTAGGTACATGCTCCAAAATGGTTACCGACATAAAGTCCATGAACTGACATCATCGACAAAAAAGCTATATAGGTCTACGCGGAGTTTGTCGTCCCCGGAGCTTGGCAATAGTCATCTAACATCAAGGCAGCGAACTCCAAATACATTTAAATTTGTTAACAATAATGTGATATTGTCAGAAGAGCAGAGATTTGATGAATATTCACATCGGTTACCGTCGGCAACAAGTTCCTTTTCTACATCTTCAAAAGTGGTTGAAAATGACAGATTTCGACGGGCATCCTTTCCGAGTGACAAAAATCCATTACATATACAACATAACGGTAAATCTTTTGTATTTACTAACAGCAATAGGCCTGTACATAAACCGCAGACAGTAGCACTAACGGATCGCAGTGTTTTTCGAAATCAATCGCGCCAAAAGCAGTTTTTAACTGAGAGTTTGCACCCAAGGGACAACCAAAAGTCAAAACATTCTAAGAAAGGACTAGGAATGATTTCAGATAGATGTATTTTAGCATTGGATAATAAGGATAATAATAATATACGTGGGTATGGACATAGCTCACAAAATGTTGGGTCCTGTAGGAGAATGGTCATTAATTGCAGACGAACAAGTGAACCTTACGAGGCTAAAAGCCATGTCACGTCTGGTGATGAGACGAGTTGTAGACCTAACACTCGATCAAATCATCAAAATTATTATGTTTCCAATATTGATGATCAAAGAACTAGTGAAATTGTTGATAAATCTACGAAACCCGCTATGGAAATTCAACCAATTATGAATGATAAGCGTAACCATAGAAACATGGAAAATGATTCGGAGCATTGTAAACTTAGTTTTCATGTTTTCGATAGTGAGAGTAACGAACGCTCAGCAAGGACAACAGATTCACTGGTGCCACAAGAACAGGTTAATGATCAATTTACAGTACCGACAGTGGAAAATCTGGAAAAAAGACATTTAAAACAGGATGATTTGTGGGATAAAAGCACACGGATTATGGAATGGATCCTAGATGACAAGGCGCATAGACAACTGGTCCAGGAAAACCACAGGCCACTCGGTATGGAAGATGGTATCGGTACTGGAGGTACTGTTGCAAATGGCGAGGACATGAATACGTTCCGTCCACACCAACTTAGTAAGGAGATCATCGAGGAGCAAGAACCAATCCATGATGATGGACGACGAGGA